TTTGTGGGCATTAAATAAACCAACCAAGTGCATATTCATGTTGAATAAGACTGCCTCTTCAAAAAATTGTAAATCTAATGACCTCAGGGTCAGGGGTCCTAGTGGCAAGGCGGGGCTATATAGGTTATATAGTGAAAATGCATTATTTCTTTGAAATTCTTCTTTTCTGCTCCTGGGCATTAAATAAACTAACCAAGTGCATAGTTGAGTTGAAAATGACTGCCTCTTCCAAAATTGTGAATTTCATGGCCCCAGGGCAAAGTGTTATAGTGCTAAGGCGGGGCTATTTAGATTTAATAGTGAAAATGCATAAATTCTTTGAAATTCCTCTTTTCTGTTCATGGGCATTAAATAAACTTACCACATGCATAGCTATGTTGAATAAGACTGCCTCTTCCAAAATTGTGAATTTCATGTGTCCTGGGTTGGGGATTCTGGTGTTAGGGTGGGGCTTTATTGATAATGATAGTGAAAAGGCATAAATTCTTTAATTTTTTTTCACCTGGGTATTTAACCAATGAGCTATGTAATAGTTATGAGAAGGAAGGATGCCTCTTTGAGATTTGTGAATTTCAGGGACCCTGGGTCAGGGCTTCTTGTGTTAGGGCGGGGCTCTAATGTTTATTTAGTGAAAATGCATAATTTCTTTGAAAATGTTTTCCTTTGTTTTTGGGTATTACGCCAATTATCTTAGTATATATTTTTGATGAAAAAAAAATGCTTCTTCAGTCCAAAAACGGTTATTTTCCTGGACCCTGGGACAGAGGACAGGTACTGGGGGGGGGGGGGGGGAATACACTGTCTGCAAATTATTTTATGCTTTGAAATCTGCATTTTGGTATTAATCAACAACATGATGAAATAAAATTTATAAAATTTCCAAAATTTTAAAAGATGTGGCCCCAGGGTCAGTGGTTCCAGTGGGATTGGGTGCACAACTGATCCAGTAGAAACACATTTTTCTCTCTGTTACTCTGATCTACCTCGGGGTATTAACGAAGTAACCAAAGTAAGCATGCTGAGTGTACGAGGGTTGTTCGAAAAGTTCGTGGACAACTGCCATATCTTTTTTTATTTGACGTCATATGTTATCCAAGTTTGGAAGAAATGTTTTAACAGTAGATCCAAATGATTTGTTTTAAATTTTTTCAAAATATTAAGATTAAATCAAAATTTATCCAGATTTTAAAAATGCAATAATCGGGTAGCGGAGCAGGTCAAAATTTAACCAGAAGTCTCTGTCGAGACTGAAGCTCTACTGGTTTGTACTTATAGCAAAGGAAGAGAAAAGTACTTAAGCAGTTGGAAATTGAAACTTTTCAATAGCAATAAATAGAATAATGATCCTTGATTAAGTCTCTTTATGTTTTAGTGCAGTCTACTTGCATGCCAAATTTATATTATAATCAGACTAAAATTGTATTTGAAGTACTGTAGCATTTTGAAAGAATTTCACATAAATGTCTATTTTTAGTAACCACGGCAACACCGTTCATCGAAATCAAAAACAGATATACAGAATTATGTATCTTAGTGTAGTCTAATTGTGTGCCAAGTTATATTGAAATCAGACTAAATGTGTAGAAGGAGTAGCATTTTGAAAGAATTTAACAGAAATTTCTATTTTTAGTAACTACGGCAACACCGTTCATCGAAATCAGAAACTAATATACAGAATTATGTATCTTAGTGTAGTCTACTTGTGTGCCAAGTTATGTTGAAATCAGACTAAAACTGTAAGAGGAGTAGCATTTTGAAAGAATTTCACAGAAATTTCCATTTTTAGTAACCACAGCAACACCGTTCATCGAAATCAAAAACCGATAAACAGAATTATGTATCCTATCGTAATCTATTTGTGTGCCAAGTTATATTGAAATCAGACCAAAACTGTAGGAGGAGTAGCATTTAGAAAAATTGTTTACAGACAGACACACAGACAGACAGACGGACGGATGCATTACTATCGCATAAGCTCTTCTGGTCTCTGACCAGTAGAGCTAAAAAGTTACAGATAATACCCTTAATTATATCTGTAGTCATATTCTCTGTAAAATTGAGCAAAAAGGAAGAACCAACTAGAAATTCGAATTAAGATTTGTTACATCGATTCGTATACCAAATTATGGCTTTATATTTTGGTTTGTTGAAAAGAAATCAACTTGAGAAGATATGTTACCGTTATTGAAAACGACAAAAATGATGACGTTTCAAAACGTCACGGATCAGCAGATAAAAATGCAATTTGTTTTGCTCAGAAAAAAATCTGAATAAACTCTAAAAATGTTGGAGGAATCAAGAAAATATGTCACAGGCGAGTTGTGCATGTGTGTACAAATAGTATATACAGTTTTTGGGTGACAGAGACTCTGTATCGGATGAGAACAAGAAGAAGCGGTTTAACTGTAAAAATCTGACCAAAAATTTTAAAAAGTTGGAACGTCAATTAAGGCAAGACATAGGCCCTTTAGAGTTGCTTATCTTGTGAAAACAGAGTTAGTAATAAAAGAGATTTAAACCTAAATTTCATTGTTATACAACGAGAGCAATTCTTCAAAAATAAATGTAAAGTATTAGATAAAGGATGTAATCAGTGTGCATTGGATTATACTGTGTGAAATGTATAGGGATAGTATTTTTTTCATTCTTGACGCTTTGATTTGACGTTACATTGCCGTTAAGTGTGCTCCGCGGGTGCAAAACATGTTGATTATAAAATAAAGTAATTTTATTTCTGTTAAATCGAATGGAATGAAACTCCACACGTCAAGAAAACAAATATTCTTACAAGTTATTTTGTGCTTATTTTGAATTTCTAGTGAGTAGTATAAAGAAGATTGACATCGTCCACGAACTTTTCGAACAATTAACCCTGGTATAATTATGATAAGCAATGGTGCCTCTTTTAAAATTCCATGGCCACTGGTTTAAAACATGAATCAAATTTGGAAAGTTGTTGCATGATACTCAGGTGACCGATAAGGCCCATGGGCCTCTTGTTTCAAGAACGTAACAAGCGTTATTATAACGTTAACAGATGACTTATAGCGAGCGCAGCGAGGCGGCGCGAAGCGCCGCTCGCGTAGCGAGCTCAATAGACTAACGTGTACGAACGGAGGAAATTCGGGTTGAAATCTGCACATTGTTCCAAGAAATTTTTATCTGACCGCGTGAAAAAATTCTAATATCCCAGTAATCCTTAAGTTTGCGGTTCATAACAACCAGAAGGGTAGAACATAGCAACAACTTACTTGAAAAAAATTACAAACAACGTTTTTATGCAATATCCTTGCCAAAAAGCTATCGTTTGCGTTCTAAGTCTACAAGACATTTTATTTGACGTCATACTTTCGTCACTTAAACGGCTCGGGTATTTCCGATTTTGTCGGAAACTTCCGAAAAGTTCGGAATCTCGATCCCGATCTCTTTGGAAATAAAATAGGTTTTTGATAGTAAATAACTGCGCTCGCCCCAACGGTCGCACCGTAGAACATATTAGACATGTTGGAGAGGAGAAAGAATATATAAAGAATTGGGGATACTAAATATTATTTTACTTCTGTTAAAATGTTTCCTATATAAAGTTCAGAAGGTAAAATAGCTATCTTTTATAGTTCACGCATAGCAAAGCTATACCCCTGGGTATAGTTTTTGTTATTATACCTCTGTTTATTTTTTCTATATAAAAATAAAACGAATAAACATGCAATTTTTTCTAAACAGTCTCTACCGTGAAATAGTTTTTGTGCTATTTGCCCATGGTGAATAGTCCTCAAACTATTCAACGGCAGCATTCGATTTCCCTCGCTTTTCGTCTCTGAAAAACTTCTGATTTTACATGGATTGTGACGCGTATATATTATGACGTAACAAAAGTTAAGTCAGAACCGGTATAATATGGAATATCATAATTGTGTGTACCCTGGACTCCCAAAAGTTAACAAAAGTTAAGTCAGCATCGGTATAATAAAACACCTATTTACTGACTATTCGGACAATAGCAAGTTTATCGTCCCCCTCGACAGCAAACTATTTCCCTCGGCTGCGCCTCGGGAAATAGTTTGCTGTCTTGGGGGACGATAAACTTGCTATTGTCCTCATAGCCAGTAAATAGGTGTATACTATCCACCCTCGGAAAATTTTCATGCAATATTTGCCTCCAATTTTGATTTCCAGCGATAAATCTATTGTCTGATGATGTCATAATGACTTCAGTAGCATCGTGACGTCATATCGAGATTACAGATTATTCTTCTTGCAGTATTATCTTACTCGAAAAAATTCAAACCTTATAAATTATATTATACATCAGTAAAATAAAACGCTTATCCACTGTTTGTGAGTGGGATATATAGCTCTCTTATCAAACCCTTGACAGGGACTATTCCCCTCGCGCAAGCCCTCGAACAATAGTTCCCTGTCGCAGGTTTGATAAAAGAGCTACAGTCGTGTGCCAAAATTGAAGATAATTTTATTTTTTCTCTATATATTTAATTGAAAACAACATTTTTTAAAATCACTGGTATAACAACATTTCTTGACAGATTTTATCACAAATTTCTTGGTAATGCAAGAAATTGTTGTAGTTGATATAAACAATAGTTTTTATCTGATCAGTATTGATATTTTAAAAATATTGTAATTTTACTGTGACATGAATTTTTAAGTCACATACTCACAATGAATTATATAGTCAACGTTGATCTTGAATTTTATAACTGATGTCAATAAATGAACCATCTTTTAGTAAAAACTAAATATTTAATGATCTTTTAAAGAAAGAAAACTACACATTTTCTGGTTTAAGTACTGAAATAAATATGAAATTGGACAAAAATTAACCATTTGCCAATGATTTTAAAAAATATTGTTTTCAATTAAATATATAGAGAGAAAATAAAATTATCTTCACTTTTGGCACACGACTGTTTCCCACTCACAACCAGTGAATAAGTGCTTATGCGTGTTTCTTACAATATGGCAACCAAATGCGCCCTTTTGGATGCCATATTGTTTAACAGAGGTAAATTTTCACATTTAAACATGATGAATGCATGCCTTAAACAGCGTATGTAAATCGTTTTAGCATTTTGTACAAAGAAGCTGAAGATGAGGTTATTTGATTTATTGGTATTTAACACTGTCAACAACAAAGGCTTGGAATTATGCCAAGCCTACACAACATTGAATACAAGGGAGGATCAAACCATAAGATTTTAGTACATCACATTTTCCATTGTTTCTATTCGATTCTTTCGATCGAATACATGTTCAGTTTTTAACGTTCTAAGTATTTATTGATTGGAAAATGACAGTTTCTCAAAGTTTTCCAAAGCGTTTTACCACTCGTGACACATTCCACTACCAACAGGGCGATCAGTGCTTTTTATTTGGTCAATTTAATTTTGAATCACTAGATACCTCGTACAGGAAATAGATTTGCACTCACAAAGTGTACTTGTTAAATTGATGCTTAAATGCATAATTTCTTTTGTGATGATGGTTATTAAAATAAGCATTGTTGATAACTACAAGATATTTACACTTTTTCATTTATCGTCACGTTCGTTTTGAATTTCAGACTCGACTGTCATCCTCTCACTTAACGTACGAGTTAACGAAAACCTAATTTAAATCGTTGTGTTGGCGAAGGATAGTGTCATGAGTGATAAAATTCTTCAAAGGATAACTATAAAAAAGTATTTATATATTGAGTATGTGCTTGTAAAAAGTCTCTCATCGCGTTTTTTTCTCCCGGAATTAGGTGGAAGTACGCGTTTCTAACCAATATTATAGGTATTTAGCGTTTCGGCCGGAACGCTAAATTACTCGGAACGTATATTATTTGCGACACCGGGTTTACACCGGATTAGTTGTAAACTAATCCAGGAAAATATGCACATGGCCAAGAAGGCTTTCAAAAGACCGTGATCTTTCCCTCGCGGATAACCTAGAAACAAGAAAAGGAAATATAACACTCCCGAAAAAATAAAATGAGACGAAATAAAATGTGAAATATCGAAAATTTTATTTTCTTCCCTAGGCCTACCTTGTGCAGTCTATATAGCATCTATATATATTATATATATAGGGCAAGAAGATAAAATTGTCATGAGCCCGGCCAAATTTTATATAACAAAACAGAATCCATATCACATATGCATCCATGCAAAGAGCCTTTACGATTCTGCAGTTCTGGTCATGATTGCATACTAGTTTATTACCTAATTGAAATAAAAGACGCTCGGACAATATATTTAACCTTGTTATCTGATTGGTTGTCCAATCGCAGTTTGCGTAACATTTGTTGTTTGTTTTTGTACACTGGAACAATATACGGAAGCTCTTTGAGATATGAATATTTAGCTTCACGGTTAATTTTAACGGTAATAGAATAAAAAGATTGAACTTTTCAGTAGACCCAAATAAACAAATGATAAATTAGAATGATTTATTTCCCGTTGGTCGCCATTTTAATTGGTGGTCAACCTGGTAATTTCCCTCTTTGTCCTACTAAATATAAGAGGGTGTAGCAGAAATATTTGGAGGTAGAATAAAAATGATAAAATAAAGGAGGCTTTTAAGGTATATTTTTAACTTTTATATAACAATCAATTTCAAAAAAAAAAAAAAAAAAAAAAAAAAAAGGTTTTAGTATCGTTAACATATGACCAGGGCTGGATTTCAAACATATTATTTTGTTTAATTAAATTGCAATTTGAATTTTAAAACTATATCAGAAACGTTTTTAATTGTCAAAGCATTCGAAAGAAAAAAGTTTATTGGTTATTTGAAATTGACTGTAGTCAAAATCTAAATAATACACTAATTTTAGATGTAAATGTAGGATTAAATTTCAAATACGAAACAGACATTCTATTTTTAGTGCCCTGTTTGACACGCAAGGGGGAGGGGGGTGTTAAGTTAAGAAAAATTAAAGCTAAAAAGGGTTTTGAAGTAGATTTTACAATTAAGGGCCAAATGGGTATGGGTAAAAGATACCTGTACATCACCCTGTTATTTAGGAAATCCTCGGGTGCCTCGTAATTACGTTGTCATGCTGTAATTTTTAAATTTACTGCCACCCGGTAAATAAAAATTTACAACATCACATGACAAGGAGTTGGGACTTCTCACACAAATATCTGTGTAAACCCTATTGAATTTCAATCATATTCTTCAACATGTTCAATGTCTCTACATTTCATGCTTTTCACCTTCTTATACCCAGTGATACGAAACAGTAAAAATCGCCATGTTGATTGTTTTTATGCATTTGATATGAAAAAAAAAATCCTTTTTCTCATACACGCACACAATTTATGATGAGATGATTCATACTACGTACATTAATTATGACCACGACACACAATATTCTTTCTCTAATTATGAGGATTATACATTATATATATATATATATAACTCATTCTGTTCTGAAATTATTTATATAACCTTGATAATATAATAGTTACAGATTATCTTTTGACTGCGCATGTGCAATTGATGCTGAAAAAGCTCTGTCGGACTATATTTGTCGATGCTAATTGTGAGTATTTTTCAGCTCTTTACATACATATATCAAACTTTATGTCTTGCTCAACTAAGAGCCATCTATATTTATATGTATAACTATATTTACTACGTCTTCTACACTAGATTACATAATGAATACGAAATAGTATGTTATTGATACGTCGGATTTTTATTGCTAGGGTTCGAATCCCACGAATACTATCTAATAATTTTATGAAAGAAATTTTTTAACGAGATTTTTTCTCTCTGCAGGAAAGTTTTTTTTTCTCATAATTTCAAAAATTTCAATAATTAGACGTTAATTTATTTATTCAATTCACATATTTAATATGATTTCTTAATATCTGACGCTGTAAGCATTCTGCCCGCCTTGTTCACCCATCTTCTTGTATACTATAATTCATTCAATATTGCTTAATTGATAAAACATTCGATATTTGTGGTAAGATCTGTCTAGAGAAAACAGTTATTCCCTAGAAAGCAAGGGGTATATTGTGATGGGTGTGTCTGTCTGTCTGTAACATTTTGGGTTGGGGGTACTAGTATTACTTATTTCTTATCCGTAACTCCTCTTATACATGTATCACTGAATGAAAGGACAAGATAGGGTATAACGGCTGAATCTGGCCACTTAATTACTTAATGTAAAAATCAGAACACTGGTAAAATTGTGATAAGTTTGTAGATACGAAGATAAAATGTTGGTTACTTTAAAAAAAAAAAAGCACTATTTTTTATTCATAAGCTTACATGAAAACCACTAGGGGTGCAGAATCGAAGTACATGTAGGTCATTTTCCAGAATTTTTGAGATACTTTTCTTTTCGGAATAAATAGAGCACAAGCTTGCCTATCTGAGATGTTTTCATAAAAACTGCATCTGATATTAATGTATAAAATATAAAAGTTTGAAAGATAGGCAAGCATGTGTTCGATGTTTTCCAAAAAGAAAATGTGTTTTAAAATCGATGAAAATTTGCATAAAAATGAGAAATTTCGAAAATTGGCGTATTTCCGGACCTCTGTATATTCTTAATCTTAGAACTATACCCATTTTGTGGAAGGGGTGACCACGGGATTTTATAGATTAATTGTTAGATCATTCTGAAAAACTCCCATAATCAGGGGCCAAATACTGGTCTTACCCTCTTGTCCTTTATTGATACCGACAATAAAGGGAATGAATACTTTCCGTTTTGTCCAGCTTCTTCACAGAATGCATGTACGCCTTTTAATATACGACTTGATAAATGGCCAAGTCGTTATGGTCATGGTTTTCCTACTGTATGAGTACTGTAATATAAGCAGATTCGGGATCCATTTGGTAACAAAGGAAGTTTCCGAATACTGATCAACCAAACCAATTATTTAGAGTGTAAGAAATACATTACCAAGCTATACACTTAAGATGATCACACGTCACTGGAAGATACCTTTACTAATTTTTTTCAACATTGAAATACTGTTACATGTATATGAATGTTCGAGTCTCATTTTATAGGACCGAAATCAGCTTGTCCGGTAATTTTACATAATTATATAGAATTGTACATGTACGAGATATAAATCTTACTTTTAAAACACAAGAACTTGTTTTTTTTTTGTTTTTTTTTTGTTATAATTTCAAACCAATAGTATAATACATGTACTCTTAAAAATACTATTGGTTAAAATTTTATTACAGAAATTCAAGAGTATATATGAACCCAGAAGACCTTGAAATATATGTAGTGCCTGTGAACCAGCCTTATGGAATAAATGGAGATAACGAACATTCATTCAATTAAAATTACGGACAGCAGTAGTGTTGATATGATGTTGTCAAAAATAGTAAGATAAGGATTTAGATTTGGATCCAATTTAATTTTGTATATTTTATGTATAAGGCGACGATGTAAAATAAATCAAGAAATGCAACTCTTGCAGTGTAAATTCCATCAAATGGTACAGAATGCCAGATTGAATTGTCTTTCTTTAAGGTAGAACCTATGTCGGAGAAGTCTTTGTCACAAGATTTTCAAACTTTTCATAATGATAAATTAGCACTTGCTTATCAATCAGAATGATAAATGCATGCTGTGACTTCAGAATTTCAGTCATTTTAGGGGTACTTGTCATGCAAAGAAGACAACAAAATCCCAGAATTGCTTCTTTAAACATCGTTGTTTTTATTGTTTATTTATTGAACAATATTAAACAAGATTTCCCGAGAATATATTTTTTTTTATTCAATTGACATAAAAGATAAGTCCACATTTTCAAAACTATAGGCAAATGAACTCTATTTATTTTCAGTCAATTTGCCACCCTACATTTGTAAATATACATCAGAAGTCTTTGTCACAATGTTTTCAATCTTTAATATAATAAAGAACATACCCAAATGATTACAAAAAGTGATTTAAATATATACCTTTCCCCTCTAATGAATGAGAGATAGGTTATTTACCGATACTAATATTCTTGACCTTTTTGCGCTTACACAGATTTTATTATCAAATGACTGTTCAGGGCTACTTTCAGCTTAAAAATGTTTATAAAAATTGTACTTTTAATTTAAAAGATCATATTTAATAGAGAACCTGTAATAAAACTCCAAGAATATGAATAAGTATCAAATAATTATGAAAAGGAATGCACATCATTTCATGATAGATATCACAAAATGTACACACAATCTACAACACGTAGTACATCTTTGACTTAGACACTTTTCATCAAGATATTATTACACTATTTACCGGTAGTTGGCAACTGACGATTTTTTAAACAGATTTTTGCATTCCTTCAAAATAGTTACATACCACTTACATAATTACAGTTTGTTGTATACATGGCAATTTCATCACACAATGTAGTCTTGGATTTGTCAACTTAATTAAGGTCAAAATCTATTAAATGAAAGGTGCCTACAGGGTTCTCTAATTCAAGAAATATATTGTCATTAAGCATTATATTAAAATATATATATAAATCGAATATTAAAAAGATTATTTCGGCATGATTTTAAATTAAATTCTGTGAATTTCAAAATGCAGTTTTTTTCTACCATTTCTATACTGAAGCCGAAAAGTACGGGAAATGACATTGAATTAATTATGACGTCATAATGCATCTAGCACTGGCTAAACACATTCATTAGTCATGATGTCTAATACGACGTAGGTTCTACGTTAAACGAGAAGGAAAAATGGAAAAGTTGTAAATCATAATCTTGCCTTGTAAAAAATCAATTATCGGACCCATTCCATTACTTTTCTTTTCTAAGCCTGTTTGAGGAATTTTTATTAATTTATTTTAAGAATATGGAACAGTATAGTGCAAATCAACTTAACTTGGGCATGATACATGTAGTGTCTCTACCCTGAATAAATTCAATGCATTGAAAATTGATGTATGGTAGACCATCAGGACACATGGGGGATTTAAAAATATTTTATTTGAATGCATCTTTTGCACTAGATCTGGCATCTTTTATATAAGCTGGTCAGCATCCAGTTATGTATGACTAAATATACAAAGTTACACAATTCATGTTCTTTTTTTAGGTCAATTCAAAAATTCAGCCACCTGAGGAGTAAAATATTCTGACACCGAGTCTGAAAGGCAAGGTGAATATTGCACTTCCATGCATATGGTGTCTTAATCATCATAATACATGTAAGTAACTGACTGAAAAATAGCAATAATGATTTTATTTTTTTCATTTGATATAATCATGAATTTTGATTATGATAATGATACAAACTCACTCAACAAATCATGTATCTCATGTATCTAAGTCCTTTTGTTCCAATTGTTGTTTTGGTCCAAGTGTTGTATTCTGGGATTAAACCAGTGTTTTTTAAACTGAGAGAAAATATAAAAATAAATGTCCATCAACTCAAGGCAATAAAACACATTTTGTAACATGCAATTTTCGTATTAAAAAAAATTGTCTCATCTCAGCAGTTGATTCCAGTTCTATTGCTGCATATTCATAAGAGTTTCACTACCTGAGCTCTTGCAACATCAAACATTTAGCAGGTATCTCAACCCTACAAAATTTAAATTCACAATAAGAACATGTAATGCACATTTTCAAAAATTTTCTTTTACAAAGAAATTAAATAATTTGCAACAAAAATTTGTTGTATTTCATTCATGTACTGAACAAGATGTGTTTGTAAAACACTATGCTACCAGCAGCAACAAAGTTTGAAAAATGCTATATTAAGCATATCAATGTAAAGGTCACAAGGTCATTGACCTTGGTGTTATTTTAAAGAACTTCATTAGTGGAGTAAGCATATTAAATACGAAATCTCTACCTCTCATGGTTCAAAGTCAAGGTCACAAGGACATTGACCTTGGTGTCATCTGAGAGGGCTTAATTAGAGGTGTATGCATACTTTATATGAAGTCTATACCTCTCACGGTTTTAGTTTTAAAGTTCTTGTGAAGGTTCAAAAAAGCTATTTTTAACATATAAGTCACAGTCAAAGTCAAACAGTCATTGACCTTGATGACTGTTGAAAGAGCTGTATTAGTGGAGTATGCATAATAAATATTAAGTCTCTATCTTTCCTGTTTCAAAAGTTATGGCAAAGTTTAAATTTTGTAGACAAAAAAAACGTTTTTAGCATAAAGGTTCCAGTCAAGGTCACAAGATCATTGACCTTGATGTAATTAGAAAGAGCTTAATATGTGGACTATGCATACTAAATATGAAGTCTGTATAATTTTCATGGTTCAAAAGTTATGATGAAGGTTAAAGGAAATGTCGGGTCAAAAACATTTTGAAGACTTAATGCTCATACAATCATACCAACAGTTTGCCTGCTTGAGTAAGGAAGGATATTTTTAGAGATTGCACTAAATTTAGTGGTTTTTGCCCCACCCCTCAGGCCCCCCGGGGGGGCATAAAATTCACAATTTTTGTTTCCCTTCACCAATAAATGCTGTTTACCAAATTTGGTTGAAATTGGTTCAGTGGCTTCAGAGAAGAAGCTGAAAATGTTAATAACACTATGGAAGTTGACAAACAAAAACAGGTGACCTAAAAACTTGAATCGTAACTAACTGATGATACTTCCAAACCTTTCTTTGACTTATCATGCAAATGGTTGTAAAAAAATTTTTTAAATCTGCAAAGAATTTTCCCCATGAGTTTATGTTCTATTGTGGCCCCACCCTGCCTCTAGGGGTCATGACTGAGACAAATATGAATCAACAATACTGTGGATACTATCTATGAAAAATATGACTTATCAAGGATTTGCTGTTGATTTTAAAAGATTGACTGATTGATTGTATATTGTTTAATTAAAGTCCCTCTCATTAATTTTTCACTCATATGGTGACCCCACCACATTTGTCCTGTACTCGGCACTCAGTGCCATTGAGATGGGAGGGATCTTTTTTGTGCCAGCACAGACTGCAACATGGGAGCTCCGTTTATATGATGTTATCCGAAGGACCGATCTCCACGTCCAACAGTGGGATTCAGACCTGTGACTTAAGAATTGACTACTTAGTTCAAGACTATAGAGCAGATGCTCTGACCACTGCACCACAATTTTTTTTTTTAGATTTTTACCATTTATTCAAAAGCTTGATCACCTGTGTTGATCGAACTTTAAAACCTGAGGATGTTCCCACATAAGTTTCATTCATCTAGGCCCCAGTGGTTCTTGAGAAGATACATGTTTTAGAAAAAGCCTTTTATTTTTCACTGTCATAATTATCTCCTCTAGCATGGCCTTTCACTTGAAAACAAACATCAATTATTTACCCTTTAATAAATACTTTGTGGCAAGTTTGGTTGAACCAGCCCAGTGGTTCTTGAGAAGTTGAAGATGTGAAAATTCACCGACAGGCGTCCAACAAAATGTGACAAGTTAAAAATCTCACTTGAGCGTTTGCCTTTTGGAGAAACTTAGATTAAGCATACATACCACGGTACCTCAAAATCACATGCTACACACCATCTAGAAAATTTCATCTCTTGCACCTACAAAAAAAAGTTTCTTTATTCAAAGAGACAATATTTAAAGTCTAAAACTAAATTAACTTGCAAATAAAGGCCCATGAGCAACATAGCTTTTCTAAGACACTTTGACCCCACTGTTCTTTATCAGCAGACCCCCCCCCCCTCCTCCCATGAATTCTAGATCTAGCATTAACTCTACCCAAGAATGCTTCCATATAAATTTCATCCTTACTAGCCATGTGGTTTTTGACAGGATGACTTTGAAAGATAACTTTAATTTAAATATCTCCTTCTGGAAGAAGACTAAGCCTTTCATTTGAACAACCTTGAATCCCCTTTGTAACCCTATACTTTTTGGCAAGTTTGGCTGAAATTGTCCTGGTAATTTTTGGGATAAAGTGGAAAATGTGGAAAGTTTATGGTCAGACATGCAGACAAATTCTAGACAAAATGTGACCGGAAAAATTCACATGAGCCTTTGGTGCAGATGAGCTGAAAGTGTTACAAAGTACATGTACATCAAATGTCAGAAATGGTGAAAATGGAGTCAAAAGGATGAAAACAAACAGTAGTCAAGATCAAAAGTCCTTATCTCGGCAAGATGTCGTAAGGACTCAAATTTTGGTCTGGTGTCCACTACGATCTCAGAGCAATCCCATACAATGCAATTCAGGGTTTTTTGCCCCAACTTTGACTGCTCGTATCATTCAATACGGGCTGGAATAAATTAGCTGCCTGCTTCAACTTTTTCCCTTGGACATCCCTTTCAGTCTTTATCACTATAAAACTTTCCTTTCTTACCTTTATAAGGTTGAAATCCAATGATATAGTTAAAGATGTTGATTTTTCATAGAAATATCCCATTCATTTAAACCTCAGATGCTGAAGAGTTCTGCAATAGTCTGCTTGGAATACCTCATACTACAACCATATCCTATAGGAATGAACTATAGTATGGAGTATTTGAAGCAGATTATTGCGAAAGTTTGCAGCATCCAATTTATCACAGTAATCACCTTTCAATGGTTGGTCATTAAGATAAAATATCTTTTCCAGTAGGGTGATGAGACTTTTTCTTCTGGCATCAAAGATTGGCTTTTCTGTTCAAAGACCATTCACAGGTTGCTATAAAATAATGAAAGGCAATAAAAGTTTACAAAGCATAAAAATTTTACATGAACTATACCATAACGCAATAGCATTAATAAGGAGTAAAGTTAATTGATTGATTGTATGTTGTTAAACGTCCGTCTCGAGAATTTTTCACTCATATGGAGATGCCACCACCTGCCGTTGCAGAGCTACAAAGAACTATATGCGGTATATTGCATATACAGTGGACCCTCATTTATCCGGATGCTTTGGTTCCCAGTCAATTTGTCTGGATATGTGAAGCATCAGGATATCTGAATCACGAGTTAAGCAAGACAAAATAGCATTTAAAAATTTCGTTCCGAAGAAAAATCATCCGGATACTGAAGCATCCTGATATCTGGCCTCCGGATATCTGAAGGTCCACTGTATTTGCCCCCACAAAAGTCAAATTTTGAAAACTTTCTGAAATGTGCTGAATTCAATTAATCGTATGAAAAATATAAATTAACAGAACATATTATACTTTCAAAGTAGTTTATTCACAATTTTTGTTTTTATGATGTCACAAACTAGTCCGATTTTATATCCTCATTTAGCAAGAGGTTGAAATGGACAAAATTTCAATAATTTTAGCTTTAAAATTTATAGAGCGCAAGTTTGTTCAGGAACAATATTTATATATTTCATTGATATTATCATTCTACACATTATATTGAAATATTGAGCCTAAACACACATGCGCTCGGTGACTTTAACTCAAAATATCGATGAAATATGTACATTTTTCCGAACAATTCATAACAAGAGGCCCATGGGCCACATCGCTCACCTGAGAAGCTTTGACCATTCTGTTCTTTACCAGATTTCCCCCTTGTAATACATAAATTACATAATGCAACCCCAACCTACCCTACTGATCCTAATTTAGAGAATTTGAAATCTACACTACCCCAGGATCCTTCCATGTGCACATTAGTTTCAGCTTTTCTGGCCCAGTGGTTCTTGAGAAGAAGATTTTCAAAGAGTTTTCCTATATATTTCTATGTAAAACTTTGTTTCCCCATTGTGGCCACGCCCTTCCCCCAGGGGTCATGATTTGACCAATTTAGAATCTACACTATACCAGGATGCTTCCACATAAGTTTCAGCCTTTCTGGCCCAGTGGTTCTTGAGAAGAAGATTTTCAAAGAGTTTTCCTATATATTTCTATGTAAAACTTTGTTTCCCCATTGTGGCCACGCCCTTCCCCCAGGGGTCATAATTTTTATAATTTAGAATCTACACTATACCAGGGTGCTTCCACATAAGTTTCAGCCTTTATGGCCCAGTGGTTCTTGAGAAGAAGATTTTCAAAGATTTTTCCGATATATTTCTATGTTAAACCTTTGATTACAAATTGTGGCCCCGCCCTTCTCCCGGGGGTCATGATTTTTAAAATTTAGAATTGACACTACCCCAGAATACTTCCACATAAGTTTCAGCTTTTCTGGCCCAGTGGTTCTTGAGAAGAAGATTTTCAAAGATTTTTCCGATATATTTCTATGTTAAACCTTTGATTACAAATTGTGGCCCCACCCTTCTCCCGGGGGTCATGATTTTTAAAATTTAGAATTTACACTACCCCAGAATACTTCCACATAAGTTTCAGCTTGTCTGGCCCCGTGGTTCTTGAGAAGAAGATTTTCAAAGGTTTTTCCTATATATTTCTATGTAAAATTTTGATTCCCCATTGTGACCCCGCTCTTCTCCCAGAGGTCATAATTTTTACAATTTAGAATTTACACTACCCCAGAATATTTCCACATAAGTTTCAGCTTTTCTGGCCCAGTGGTTCTTGAGAAGAAGATTTTCAAAGATTTTTCCTATATATATTTCTATGTTAAACTTTGATTACAAATTGTGGCCCCTCCCTTCCCACGGGGTCATGATTTGAACAATTTAGAATCTACACTTTACCAAGATGCTTCCACCTAAGCTTCAGCTTCTGTGGCCCAGTGGTTCTTGAGAAGAAGATTTTCAACCAAGATGCTTCCACCTAAGCTTCAGCTTCTGTGGCCCAGTGGTTCTTGAGAAGAAGATTTTCAAAGATTTCCTATATTTCTATGTAAAACTTTGATTCCCCATTGTGGAGCCGCCCTTCTTCTGGGGGTCATGATTTGAACAATTTAGAATCTACACTACCCTAGTATGCTTCCACATAAGTTTCAGCTTTTGTGGCCCAATGGTTCTTGAGAAGAAGATTTTCAAAGAATTTTCCTATATATTTCTATGTAAAACTTGGATTCCCCATTGTGGAGCCGCCCTACCCCGGGTTTTATGATTTGAACAATTTAGAATCTACACTACCCCAGGACGCTTCCACATAAGATTCAGCTCTTCTGGCCCAGTAGTTCTTGAGAAGAAGATTTTTTAATGACCCAACCCTATTTTTGTCTTTTCTTGATTATCTCACCTTGTGAGGGGACTTGGCCCTTCATTTTAACAATTTAAATTTCCCTTCACCAAAGGATGGTTTGTACCAAGTTTGGTC